TGAGCTAAATCTTGCTGCTACTCAATTGATTACGTGTTTCAGTCCGCCTAATCATTAGTTGGGTAACAATATTATTACTACTTTAAATATATTATCTGATAACTTTAACTTATATACTAATATTTTAATTTTAGAAAATTTATTTATTTTATCTAATGTATAACTACTCTTAATAATCATAAAATCAATTTATTTAATGAAAAAGAATTAGAATTTTACATAGATGGATCTTATAGATTTTTCTTATCTCTTTTATACACTTATATTAGTTTTACTTTTATTTTGGTTCACAATATTTTAGATATTAGTTTTGTAACTGCTTTATTTCCTCTTTAGGTCAACTTTATTAATGCTAAAATTTATGCTCTTCTAATGACTCTTTTTGTCTGTCTTTTTGATTCTTTAGTTAAAATTAAAACTGACAATTTGTCAATGATTCTTTTATATAATAGATCATTACAATTCAATACTTATTACTACCCATCATTACTATTTAAAATTTTCTTTTACATACAATATTATTACCCAAGTGAAAATGAGGCACAGCAAATCACATGATCAGAAATGTGATACAAAAAGCATGATTAATATTTATCATCAAAGAAATCACAGAAACAATTTCATAATAGAAATGTAATCATAAATTGAAATGTTGATCAATGAAATTAGTGATATGTAATACAATATACCATATTTAAAAATTAGGAGTAAATGTAGTAATTATGAAAAGATATTAAATCATAGTTAGGAAATTAGTTATTCTTATATAAGCATGATGTAGCAACTATGCAATGAAATATGTAGTAATAATTGTGTAATGATTAAATAGTTAAAGGCAGTCCTTATGTAATAATTATCTAATATATCTGTAATTTTAAATCAATTCAAAATGTATAAATAGGACAAGTTAGAATTATTAAAGAGGAGGCAATCTAGAAAAGTAAATAATCTAGGAGGAATGTAATGCGAAGAATTAATATTGATGATTATGCAATCACTTATAACGTTATAATATTTTAATAAATAATTTCTTTAATAAAATTATTCTTTTATTACTTTCTCGTAATATTTGTATAATCCACTTATGTGTTACCTCTATCATAGTTCATTAAGTCTACATACTTAAATGAATCATCATGTGATTCAGCTTAAAAAGATCATGATGAATTTATAATCTTTGATGATGGGTGGCAGCAGCGATCAAGAATATTTCATCAAATCAACTAAAAATTTATAACATAACAAACTCAACCTCTTACCTAAAAATGAACGTCCTATTTTTGGGATAACAACTGATAGGAAAATAGTAATAGTTTTTCCATTACATGTGACTTTAAATTCTCCTTTTATTAAAGGCTTCTATCTAGCTTGATATTATCATTGAATACCAAGAATTACTAAAGATTTAGCATTTTCATTCTGATCCTTTTCTGTAGATACAACAGAAAATTCATCCATAATAGTAGCTGTATTTTCTTCAGAATCAATTATTATAGGAACATTAACAATATTACTGATAGATATTGATTGACTTGCAACTCCATTAAGCACATGAATTTTTTTCCTATCAATTTTAATAGCTAACAGTTCTTCAACAGCTTCTGCAATATTATCTGAAAAGATAGAAGAATCAGAGCCTATATCTATCATTGTGTATAAAACTATTAACTCACTATTTTGCAATAAATTGTTGCAACATCTTCAGCATCCTTTATTTGAAGAAAATTTATCTCTAAAGGCTTAGACTAATATATTTGGTTATTTTTTTTTTTCAGCTGAATAACATTGAGCATATGCTTTAATAGAATAGTTTAGAATATTAAAACCTATTAGTATTATATCATTTATAAGGTCATCTGACTCAATCCCTCTAGAACCTTTTAGCTTCTCTTCTATCAGAACTTGAATAAGAGATTTTTGCTCTATATTGATTGCCTGGATTAGTGGATGCAAAATATCTATAATTTTGTCAGTGATAAGCTCTCATACTTTTTTCCTTTTTTTAACAATACCATCTTTTATAGCTGTATTCAGAATCTGATCTTTCAATTTAGGATATATTGTATTAATATATTGAGAGCCTTCCTTAAGAATTTCTTTAGGAATATGTTAAACAACTGATGATAATATAGATTTTAAGGCTACTAAATAAACATAATTTATAATCATGATTATAGGTGTTGAGGATTCTACTTTTTTACAAGACTTAGAAATAGGAGATTCCTTCTTATGAGTCTTTTTCATAGATACTGCACTTTATACTACTTTTTTTTTACAGCATAGCAGTTTCAGTCAGTGGCATTTAGAGCAGATCCATCATTATCAACATATTCATCACTTTTCTCAACTTTTTTCTCAACTATATATTTTATTTCAGGCTCTTCGAGATCTTCCTCCTCCTTAACTATGTAATCTATTTCAAGCTCTTTGAAGTCTTTGGGATTTTTTTCAGCATTTTGGTATACATAATTAACCTTTTTAATCCTCTTAACTCCAGAACAATTAATTTTTGTATGACCAGCTTTTTCACAGACTGAGCAATGACAAACAACTTTTTGAGAGACAATTTGTTTAACTGATGCTTTTGTATTATCTTTCTAACAGCTTTCTTTGTAGCATTTGTATTTCTAATCTCTAACTTTGAGAAGGAGATTCTTCTAACATTAGATACTTTTCATCTTAACCTTTTACTAAATTCATTATAGATATGTGATCCTAAGGTTAAGATATCCATTGCTACACCTAAAAAATCTAAATTCTTTGCAAAACGAACTATAAATTCATGTTCAGCTTATGATTTTTTTTTGTATAAATAAAATGTAATAGAGTTTCTTCATTGAAGGAGAAATCACCTATATACCTATTAGCTTCTAATCATTTATCATTAAGTTAAGTAAAAAAGTCATTAAGATTTGCTAGATTTCTGATTTTAATCTGTAATTCCAAATTTTTAGGTAAATGATTATAAAGAATAGGTAGAGCATCTGCAAATAGTAAAAGCATTTATACATAGTCTAATCTGTTTTTCATATGTTTCTGGAGTATCAATAGAAAGGAATTTATTAGACATAAATGCTTTCATAGAAGCCTATGCTAAACCTAATTTTACTGCACAATATATTTCTTGAAGCCATGCTATAAATAATGTTGGAGTATTAATCGCATTTCTTGCATTATTATTAAATGGATTTGGAGAAGTAAACCTTCCTATCATCTTTCCTGCTAATATATTAGTTTTTATAGCATTATTAAATCCTCCAACTTCTAATGAATGACCATAATTAATCGCTTGCATAATCTTATTATAATAGTCATCTGATAGCTTTTGAAAATATATTGTGGTATTTGAGCTAAAAGTAGGATTATTGAATTTAAAACATCTGGTAATGTAGCCATATTTTCTAAAGGATTTATTTGTAAATTCAAAATAATTTGTCTTGAATTTATTTCTCGAATTTTCCATTTTTGATATTGGTTAAATATCCAAGCTCAATTAAATTCTGCTAAGTTAGCTTCAGCTTTGTATCTTCAATTTATTAGTCAAAGTGCTACTTTTTTTTATAATAAATTATAGTTACGTCTTTCTGCTCTCTAAGTTCTAAACCACTATACCTGACGCTCATTTATTTTATTATTTAGAGCTTGTGTTAGCATTTGGTTATCATTTTATGATTTTGCTCGAACTTCTTGCAATTGTTACCTTAGATTTCTGACTTATCAAACATGTTATTCTACTATTATATTTTGATCTTGTCAAAATTGACGAATTGTACCAGTATAAGTAATAATATTAGTCAAATATGTATTAACTCTATCAAATGATTCTCTTATATCATCTAGGAAAATAACTCCTGTATTATTCAAATGTATCTGAATTCTTGCTAAAGAAACCAAAACCTCAAATCATCTATCTAAAATAGCTTGTATTGTATGTTTTATATCTAATATTTCTTTATTATTTGAAACCTTTTCTGATTTAGATTAGTTATTTCATAATACAGGTCTTAAGTTGCTCAATCTTATCTTCTAGCCTTAAAATATTGATATCTTGAACAGTACTAGCATTACCTTTATGCCTTAAATCCTGCAATACTTTTTGAAGACGCTGTTTAAAAGATTTTATTTCAGTCTTAAGAGATGCTATCTTATCTTCATGAACTAAAATTGTAGAATCTTATTGAGATATAGTTTTATAATATACATCTAGCTCCTTATTAAGAGCCTTAAGCTTTTTATTAGAAATATCATTTAAGACTATTTCATCTGCCAATTTTTTGCGCAACTCTTTATTAGTATCAAGAATTTCAATATAAACCTCTTTTTCAATCATAATTACTTTTTTTTTCATTATCATTCAAAAAAAGATTTTTTACTAATGATGTATAACTTTTTTTAAGTTATAGTAAAAAAAAAGGTTGAGAAAAAATGTTGATTCTTATTATACAAATAGATTCAAGTAAAGCTAGAAATTTAGATATATCTATTAATTTGCAAAAATTATTACCAGCTTTCAGGTTATTAGAGGACTGTAAAAAAATTATTTGAAGCTTCTCTAAAAGCTGAGTTCAATTTTACTTTAAATGAAGTGCGTGATTAGCTTAAAAGACAAGTTATACATCAGATTCATATGCTTCACTCTAGAAATATTCTAAGTGCATGTTTCATTAATATTACTATACCTATGTGGGTTATTCAAGCTAACTTATGCTATATATGCCTTATGATCAAATTGAAAATAAAATTTATAAATTTACACTTAATTGTGTAGATATTACTACTCGTATAAAATAGACCTATTTCTTAACTAAATATGATTCTGCTAGTATTGCTATAGGTCTTGAGAAACTTTTTAACTCCCAAAAATATCCACTTACTTAGCCTAAAAAAGATCTTATGACAGATAAGAGTGTTAAATTTCAGAATGATTTTATTAGATTAATGAATAAATATGGTATTAATATTCTAATAGCTAATTTAAAAAAAAATATAAATATTGTTAAAAGGTTTAATAAAATATTACAAGAATAGTTGTCTATTATTCAAAATGCTGTTAATATGAGATTACCTATATCAGAACGTTGTTAAGCTTGAATTAGAAACCTTCCAATTTTTCTTAAGAATTTTAATAATTCTGTGACTCATCTTCTAGATATTTCTCCTGCTAATGCACAAAAACTGAAGCATATTTATACAAAACCTTCTAAGCCTCGAAATGGAATTTGATGAGAAGAAATTAACTTATTATATTCTTATAAAATATTTACTTAAACCAAATGAGTTAAAAGGTGAAAAAAAACGTGCTGGAAATATGAATTGGTCTTCTCAAGTCTATCATATCTGTGAATCTTTAATGCAAAAAAATCAGCCGGTCTTATACTGACTAGAAGATGATGAAGGCAATAGCCCAAAAAGATCTTTTGTAAGAGAAAGATTAATAATTATTAAAGAAGCTCAGCTATCACCTTGATAGATGCTTAATAATTAAGAAAGTATTCTGTCTCTTTATCAACTTGTATTTCAGTAAAGAAATGATCTTTGGCTAATTTATAATATAATTTATATACAGCATTAATAATTTTCAGATCTTTTCTATACTAAGATTTATAGTTATTCATAATACTATGATATTTATACTTATCTAGAAACAATCCTTTTGCATATATGCATCAGGATCTTTTGCCTAGCGTAATTTTTTTAATTTTTTTACCTGCTCTTTATAGTTTTGCATAAATTTGCTATCCTTTAGCTTTCTATAATATATTTCTGCTTTGATTACATTTATTAATGCCTGTTCAATTTTCTGAAAGGTGGGCTTTGCTTCAGATAATTAAATTTGTGTACTCATAATGTATAAAACATATCTGTCATTCACTTTTCTATATTGCAGATAATTTTGTTTAATTAAATTTTTTCATCCCTATTATAAATGATAGCATCTTATATTTACAACTATCTTCATAACTTTGGTAAGATTTGTGATAAAGCCTGTACTTGACTTGAAGGTTATCAATAACATTGAAAGACTAAAAAGTGCTATTCTTGCACTGATTGTAACAAACCTACTGCTACAGCTTGTAAACGGTGTGCTGAATATATTAGAGAATACTATATGATGCAATATTATAATAAATTGCGAAACAAGGTTTAGAGATTAGACTTAATAAAAGGTGATACCCTCCCTTGTATCTTTAGTACTGTGAAAAATAGCCAACTCTAATTGCTTGCTTGATTACTTATCCTGATAATTTTTTTGCACTAGGATTTGAGTAAAGAAAATGAGTTTGATATATATTAATAAATTATTAGTATACTAGAATATACTCAATAAACTTTTGATTTACAAATTTATTATCCTTTAGAGATGAGACTTTGAGGTGAGACTTAGCATATAGTATGCATTTTAAGCTTGCATGATCAAGCCTAACTCAAATTGCATCACTTTATTCCTTGATTTTCAATAGCTCCTATAGAGACAAACAAAATAGCATAAAAGTTATTATTTATATTGGGTTTGCAATGTTAAGTCCAACTCAAATTACGTTACTTTATTTCTTGATTTTCAATGAGCTCTCTTGAGGTAAACAGAATAGTAAATATTTTTTGATATATTATTTGAGATTAAAATCAGGCTATAATGGCTATATCAAATAGTGTAATTCTTGATATAGGCTAATTCTTAGCCAAGTTTGATATTATCATCTAGATTTAAATCAAATTATGCTAGAGGTTTGAATTTGATAATTGGTTCATATAGCTAAAATTGATTTGTAGGTGATCAGGAACCTTTCTAAATATCTTTTTAGATTTTGTTCCAAAAACTTCATTTTTATCGTAATCATCATTCGATGATGATCCTGAAAATTTAATCATCTTTAGTCATATTATAATAAATAAATTTAGTTAGTAAAAAATTAGTTCAAAAGTGTTTAGCTTAACAATATCATCTCGACATGTAAAAAGTTCATTTATTTTAGTAAATTTTATAATATTTAATAATCAGATTAACTGTTATACTGGTCAAGTCCAGTATTTTTTTAAGTATATGAGGCCTTTGCAATAGAAAGGGTAGAAACAGCCGAAAAAATCAAAAGTGAGTTAATGCTAAATTTGAATATATTTCAGCATAAAAATCATATTTAGCATATAAAGTAAAATTAATTTTTCCCAACAGTTTCCTCCCTTTCTATTGCAAAGGCCTATATAATCAATTTTGAAGATAGATCAGCAAAATATAATTTGGTATTTATTTAATAGTATAAGCTAATAGAAACATATAAAGTTTGATATTATTTTAGTATTAATAATAATAAAAAAACTTATAATGTTGAACTATAGAAAAATAAATTTTTTCTGATAGTTGTGATAGTATTATTCTAATACAATATATTCTTTGTTGATTTATATCAGTAAAATATAAATTTTCTACTTGTTCAAATACTATTGAATATTTAGCCATAAATCTGATAATCGTAAATTTAATATTCGTTAACTTTTATTTTATAATATAAATTTTTTATAATAAATCAAAACTAAATTGATATAATACTAAATTATATACAATATAACAAATAACAGTTAATTTATTATAATTTTCATGTTAAATTTTAAAGTATAACTGAAATTTTGCCATATTGAATCATTTAAATATTTTCCAAAAGGTCATAATGTTAAAATAATATTAAATTATGTGTAGTATAACAAATAACAGTAGATTTATTATAATTTTTGTACTGAATTTTAAACTCAAGCTGAATTTTTGCCAAATAGTATGATTAAATCAGCTGATTTTTTACTAAAAGGTTTTAATGCTAAAATAAAGTTAAATTATGTATAATATAACAAATGGCTATTGATTTTTATAATTTAAGCTGAATTTTTACTAAATAATATAACTGAATTAGATGAATGTTTACCAAATAGTCTTAGTGCTGAAATAATACTAAATTACATATAATGTAATAAATGACTATCGATTTTTATAACTTAAGCTAAAGTTTTGCTGAATCATATGGGAGGCAGTCAGTAAAAAAGGAGGAAATCCAAATTTTGGTCAAAATTTATATTATTGGACCACTTAGCTGATCTCGGTCATGTACACAAAATTAGCTTAATAATTAAAATTAACAAAAATTTTGGATTTCTCCTTTTTCTACTGACTGCCTCTCATATGACTGGATCAGCTGAATATTAATCAATATTAATGTTATATGAAATGATATGGCTAGTAAAAATAGCATTTCAAATATAATTTTTATCAATAAGTGAAAATATAAAATTTAATTATATTGATTATAAACATATTTCATATTTAAATTAAAAAATCAAGTAATAAGTTATATATATTACTACTATAAAAAAAACTAAATATAAAGTATTATCAATGATTTAATAAATTTTATTTTTAAAATAATAATTTATTTTAATTAGATTTATAATTAATGATGATATTTAAAAATCTATTTTAATATATAATTTAAAATTTAAACTTTTTTTCAAAATATTTATAATATATATTTTTTAAATCTAAAACTTTATTGAGTTTATAATAATCTATTTAAAATTAAGGTAAAAATATTTATTAATAATTTTAATCTCAAATATCTTAAAATTCAAAATTATCTAAAAAAGATATCTTTACTTATAATATTAAAGTTTTTATTATATTTAAAATTATGCAATGTTAAATAATTCATTAATAAATAATTTCTATATAATTTTCAAATGAATTATCCTAGTAGTAATAAAATTTAATTTTGATTATAAATCTAGTAAAATATTGATATATAGTATTATGAATGAAGATTAGTAAATATTTTATTATTTAATTATTATTTTTATATCTTATATATCTATTTCTATCACTATGCTTAACTTATAATATTAATTATTATTAATAAAAGATTATTTATTATATGCTTTTCATAGATTTTTATAACTTTTTTATATTTTAACATAGAATTTTATATTATAAATTTTGAATTAAAAAATATTAATTTATATTATATAAATTATTAATTTATAATTCCTTTAATACTTTTGTTTTTAAATTTAAAAGCAACTTTACTTTTTAATTAAAAATATTTTTAAAATATTTTATTAATGTAATAGTAATTTTATAAATTTTATAAATGTTTTCTAAGCAAAACCTAAAAAAATAATGCTATTAATTAATAATTTTTTAAAAATAAATAAGTAATGAATTATTATAATTATTTAAATAAGAATATCTTATTATCTATTAATCTTAACCTTTTTTATGAGAAGAATCTAATAAACTAAATTATAGTTTTCTGAATTATAGATAAAAATTATTTTTAAATATTTAAAATATTTTAAAATAATATAATTTTTGATTTATTTATGCTAGAAACATTATTATAGTTTTATCAGATGCATCAATTTAATAAGTTAAATTTCATCTTTTTATGATCACTAGATATCAAAATATATTAATTTTATTATAATTTTTAATGAATAATTTTATATTAATCATTTAAGGGATAAAAAGATATTTAATATTATAAAGATTAAACTTTAAAATTTAAAATTTTAAAATTTAATAAAGAATTCTTATTTTTTTTAACAAGATCTAAAACAAATTCTCAACATTTCTTATTTAATAAATACAGTAGCATTTATTTAAAAGAATAATTTATTAATTAATATAGAATGTTATTTTTTTTTATAAATGCATGAAATTTTGACTTAAAATTTATTCTGTTTGTTGATTTATTATAATAACAAGAATAATAATTATAAAACTATTAAACATGAACAGAAGTCACTATTAGTGATTATTTTAAAATGTATAGTTACAGCTTTATAAAAAAGTTGATCTGTGTTTTGTTTTTCCGTGAAGGACTCATTTTACAGAAATTTTCATCTCATTTAAAACGGATTTCGTGACAGGTTCATTTTCACGGAATTTTTACAGAAGCCATGGAAATATTCAGACAAAAATTTTTTATAGGGCAAGCCAAACCTTAAAGATATATTGGAGAAGATTTATTGTAATGTACTAAAATGAATTAGGCGTTTTTCCCAACTAAAATATAACCGTATTTTGTTAAGCTTTTGTTGTAGTTTTGCTGCGCTGCTTTGCGAGTTGCAACACAAAGAATTTGACTTCCCCTGCGTACCCATCAAAAAATGTCACGTCGGCCCGCATTAAGACTTTTGCAGGCCCATATGCATGATCATGCATGTTGCCGATCCTTAATGTCGGCCATTTTGTGACATTTTTTGATGGGTACGCAGAGGTAGTCAAAGAATTTCTACTGCGCCGACAAGCATACAAAGCCCAATTGCCTTTTGGAAACAAAAGCATGACTTGTTATGTCATGCATTGCAAGCGCCATATATTTGCATAATACCATCATGAAAAAAAAAGTACAATTCACAATGGAGCAAGCAAGAACATTTGTCATTTGAGTACATCCGACCTCTTTGCATTTGAAAAATGGAGTTCTCCAGATGTTTTTTCACAAAAAGCCATCATATTCACTAATCTTAATGAGTATTTTTACTTTTTTTTAAAAAAAAGGAAATTCAACCGGCAAGATCAAATTATTGACTTTTATAGATAGTTCAATGGATATTGTTCAGAGTCTATCTATACACGGAATTGAAATCCTTTTATTAAAAGTTACACATAATTATTAAATATTGTGATTTAATTGTATTTATCGTACGACGGTTAGTAAAGGAAATTGTTTTATTCATTTAATTAAGATTGAAACTTGTTCTTTAATGAAAAACAAAAAAAAAGGTTGAAACTAAAACCCTCCAATATAAAATAGTAAATCTTTGGTTCAACGTTACTATTCTTACTTGCATGATCTATAAATATCCACAACCATTGATATAATGATTTGTTCAAGGCCTCCCAAGTATAGAGTTAAACTTCCTTTAATGATCGTTTGTTCTATGCATGATTGACGTTCATTAAATGTGGCCGAATAATTTTTGGTTAGCACAATTTAAAATTAATTGATTCTTTGCATTTAGCGACCTTCCAATCAAATCCAAATTAATAATCTCGCCAAAATATTTTGTTCCTGCTTCGAATTTATATGAATTTATATAAATATTTTTATTAAAAATGGTAAATATTTTAATTATTTTAATTACATACAGGAAGGGCGATGGTTTATGCTGCAATAAATCATCATTATAATACGTGGTGGTAATTCGGACTGAATCTCTAATTCTCGTCCCGAATTACAAGTATATTTATTAATCACGTGATTGTAAAATGTTATCATTTCATGAAAAAGTATTTCTGGTACCAAAAAAAGAAATGATTGACCTAACACAATTCGCAATTACGCAATATTTTCTTAATAACAGTATGCATTTCATACCAAATTCTGCGGTTTCTGCGGTTTCTGCGTTTTATGCAATTTGTATATTTTCACGAGAAGTCATTAAATAAAATTTCTCATTATTTATTTCCTTTTTTGATCTAATAATCATTAATAATATTTGTAAAACCATTATTACTATTCAAAAACTCTTTTTTTTGCGAAGAAGTTTTATGTAACAATATTTAGGATATTTCAATTGTATAGATTGTAACGTTATGAAGCATTTCATGCAATCTGTTATACCCCACACTTTTTTTTTATTTAAAAAAAAAGGCACTTTAGGAAAATTTACCGAATAATAAGAAACAATTCGAAATATGGACTGGATCCATCTTTACTACATAAAGTTAGAATATTTACTTGGCGTAATTTTTTTGTTTCATTGGAAATCCAAGGTCGACCTGTTGGATATCAATTTCGATCGTTACACTTCCCTATAACGACGTTTAAGGAAATGAAATCTAATTGTAAAACAATTGTCAAGTAAATTTTACAGTAAGATATTATGTGAGAATTTTTAAGTTTCCAAAAAAGTCAAAAAATTTTTCATTCGTTTAAAAAAAAAGGAGATTCGGTTTTAGAATACGAAAATGGACTAGACTTCTTTTAAAAATAGTAAAAAAAAATAGTGACATATGTATAATAAATATTATTCCATATGAAAAATAGTCAAATATTTATCAAAATAGTAAATACAAGTTGTTGTAGTAATTTATTTTTTTCGTACTCGAGCAATGCAGAAATCTAATTGATTATCAACAAAATAATCCTTATAAAGTAGAAGTTCTAACTTTTAATGTGGGGTATATAAACTTAGAATATATATTTTAAAATAAAATCAACTAAAAACTATAAAAAAAATTTGTTATAAATTCTTCGATTTTCTTTTTACTCCTCCTCACACTACTACACTACTTCCTAATTAATAATTTACGAATTTTTTAAAAAAACTTTTTTTCATATTCAAAAATGTCTCTTGAAGAAGGAAAATCCGGAGAAAGATATTATTCGGCTCCAAAAATCGGCAACCCAGCTCCACTTGGTAATAAAGAATTATTTGCATTTCAACCGCCATTTTTTTCTTAAAAAAAAAATTCCTTTTAATCAATCTTACTTTTCTCTCACCCATAGGTTTAAGTGGTTTCGCTTTAACGACATTCGTATTATCAATCCATAATGCAGGAGCAAGCACAGTAAAGGTTCCAGAAGTCGTGGTAGGATTAGCATTATTTTATGGTGGTTTGGCACAATTGTTGGCAGGAATGTGGGAATTTAGAACTGGAAATACCTTTGGCGCAACTGCCTTTTCTTCCTATGGTGGCTTTTGGCTTTCTTTTGCTGCCATATTCATCCCAGCTTTTGGAATTAAAGATGCTTATAAAGCAGCAGCAGAAGAAAATCCTTTAGCCTTAACTCACGCCGGTTTGTATTCATATTCAAAAAGATCGCTTGTGATAATTTATTTTAATCTAATCGCTAATTTTTATATATTCTCCAGTTGGAATATATTTGATTGGATGGACAATATGTAAGTTATTCATCTCTTTTACATAAATCATCCTCTCAAAATGGTTTTTTTTTCTAAATTCTTTCCCTTTTCTTTTGATTTAAAAAAAAACAGTCACATTCATCTTATTTTTGGCAACATTCCGATCTAACGGAGGAATAATGGCATTGTTCTTTTTCTTAACGTTGACTTTCCTCTTATTGACGTTAGGAAAATTTGTGAATGAAGATAATCCAAACAACGGTTTCACAACATCTGGTGGTATATTCGGAATAATTACTGCATTGATCGCTTGGTATAACGCTTTAGCAGGTTTACTCACCCCTGAAACCTCTTATTTCACTTTACCTACTTTTGATTTAAGTCGCAAGAATAACTAAAAAATATATAAATATATATAATATAAAAAATTATAGATATAGATATATCTATTTGGGAGTGGTTTCTTTTTTCTTAATTTAAATTTGTATGATATATATATATAACGATAATAATAATGATTGATTGATTTGTATATTTATTGGTTTAATTCACGTTTTATAGTAGTAGTAGTAGTATTCTTTAATATTTGAAATGAAATAATAAAATTTTTTTTTTTTAATACTATTGTCGTTTAAATATTGATTTGAATTCAAGAACTATCCAACAGAATTTGATACTTCCGTGGCGCACTTAAAAATAATTTAAATATACCAAATACATTTAGTGGATTTCAATTTAATTTAAGTTCGATAATAAAAGAAATTGACATTAAATATATCTTATTATAATCTTTATTCATTATTATTGGAAATTACTTTATTACATAATTATGCTACTCTAATTTAAAATCGGATGTCATTTACATCTTAGTGCCATAGTTTTTTTCCGTTTATATCTTTCAACATTAACCATTTCAATATTAGAATAAGCCATTTATGTTACTGGATCTTCAAGAAACCTGAGCACTTTTGTTGTCTATTAATTTGTTTCACAATCTTTCTGTATCTTGCATAATAATTCCATTTCAACATTTTTAAATTATGGAAATAAATTCAGACGGGACCCTTTCTGCTGAACTAAATGTTTACAGTTAGTTAAATAAAAAGGGTATCTATCCACAGATACAACTGTCAGATATGTTTGATAACATGCGTTGATAATGTTTTCCATTCAAATTTTAGTTGTTTTATCCACTTGAATTTGTTGTAGTTTTTGCTGCTGATGAACAATTATTTTAGTCATTAAAATAAACCCTACAAGATTAACGTGACTGAAAAAATTGATTAAAAAAATTCCTGTTTTATAACCTTTCAGTGTCATTATGGTTTTGAGAATTGAAAATAAATTGACATTAATTGGAATAAAGTGAAGTTTTTGATAATAATTTCGTCATTTTTTATAAGCTTTAATAAAGTTCAAATATCGCAGATTTTTAATAAGGTTTTAATATAATTTCGCCAAGATTTATTTTTACTATTTAGATGCTGGCTAAACCTCTAGGTTTCGTCTAGCAACCTTAAGTGTTGATGATGTCGTTTTTCCATTATTTTCCAAACATTATTATGGTATTCTTAGGGTAGAATTATTCTGATTGTAAAATATGATTAAATGGAAATCAAACACCAAGTTTGCTATTAATTTCTAATGAAGATCATACAATTCAACCCAAAGTGATATTTGTATTATTTGTATTATCTTTTGTTTTCTTTAATTTAAATCTTTGTATAACAATATTGATTATTAAATAAATATTTTACAAATAACATCAATACTTCATTTATGAACTTTAATTCCAGTTTGTTTAAATCTTTAAACTACTAAAGCATAAATAGGCTATGTTCTTTTAAAATAATTTGATATTAACCCTTTTTAAGTCATAGTTTTGCTGATTCAAATAAAAATTTCTTGATATTATATCTTTCTTGTCCTAACTGTTTTCATCAATTTTATTAAAATAATATATCTAATTCTTTAATAAGACATTTATAAATCTCTCTTATCAATAAATCAATATTTGCTTTAATGAAATCTTACATATTTTGAGATATAATTAGAATAATTGACTCTATATATAAAAAATTGTTATTTAATTCATTTTGGTAATTCATTTATAATAATTTAATAATTTTATTATAATAAAACCTTTTTATAGACTACTTTAAAAATCTTATATTTTTAACTTTTTAGCTATCTTTTGTAAATAAGAACTATATAAGACTTTTGCAGTAGAAAGAAAGAAACTACTAAGAAAAATAAATTTTACTTTATATGTTAAATATAATTTTTAAGCTAAAATATATTCAAATTTAGTAATAGCTTATTTTTTATTTTTCTAACAATTTTCCTTTTTTCTATTACAAAAATCCTTCCTATATATTATTATATTAAGTAATACAAAAATATTATAATATCTTTCTACTCAAAAATTAAATTAATATATAATTGATCTCTTTTTAATACTAGTATTTCAATTTTAATAATAGTTTTAAAATAATATTTACTTATTTAAAAATTGAATTAATATATACTAATTAAAATCAAACAATTTAATTATATAGGAGTTTTGTAGTAAAAAAGAAAGAAATTCTAAAAAAATTTTTTTAAAATAATATTAAATCTAAACTTATTTAACTAAAAAAAATCATATTTGACTTATAAAATAAAATTTATATTTTTTTAAAGTTTTCTTTCTTTCTATTGTAAAACTCCTATATAATAAATTAAAAAGCATGTAATAGCTCTAACTCAATGATTAATATATAAGTATCTTATAATTAAAAAAGCTATAAGTTATTAATCAAATTTTAAATAATGCATAAACCAATATAATTTTCAAAAAAATTTCATTGTAACTGAATTTATTGATGTAAGGTTGGTTAAATAGTCAATAAATCCATGAATATTAATTTATTAGATAAGTCTAATAAATTTTTAAGAAATATTAGATCTATTAAGATTATTAATTTAATTGACTAATTTATTATATATAAATTTAATTAATTTAAAGCTTATAATCCATCAATTACAAATGTTAGAAATATGATTTTATATTAATTTTAATTCTTAAATTTGAAACAAACTTTACTAAATATTTGTAAAATATATTTACTTACTTTTCATTAATTTTAATATATTAAATAAAAATATATTACAAAAGAAACATGATCTTATAGTAAAACTAAAACCTTAGTGAATTAATTTATTTATATAATATTTATGCAAAAAAATTATTTATTTATTCAATTTCTTCAAAATTTAAAAACTCAAAAATATAGGTTTTTGTATTATTTTAAACTTATTAAATAATATATTATCAATAATATTTGATATTTATATAACACTTTTTTGTGATAATCATACTTATCAATTGAAACTATTGTTTTGACTTTAGACTATTAAACAAATTTAATAGAAAAAATTATGATAAAATTGTTTATATTTTGATCTAAATTTTTTATTAGTATATATATTAACATCTTATTTTAAAAATTTTTAATAATTTAAATTTTTTGGATAAATATTTAGTAAAAAATTTTTATTTTTATTTATGTTATGAATTTCAAAAATTCCATTAATAATATATAAAAACTTTATTATAATGCAATTTTTATTAATAAAAATTGAAGTGATTCTTTTAAAATTAATTTTGCTAATATTCTATATACAAAAAAAAATTGATATTATGATAAAATAAATACATATATTTTTATTAAATTTGTTTTTAAAATTTGAAAAAATAATAGAGATATTGAAATCAAATATAATACAAGAAAAAAAAAGGTTGTTTTTTAAAATTATTTATTAATCTTAGTATTTTTTACTTTAGATTATTATATGAAATAGAATCATATGGGAGCGTTTCCAGTAAAATCACATTACGGATCATATGATTTACTATGCCTCATAACTTGATTTTACTGGAAACGAACCCATATAATATCATATAGTTAGTTATATAACCTGTTATGAATTGTAAATTATTAACACAATATATTAAATAAAATACTTAGCTTATAATTAGTATTTTACAAAAAATCTGATTCAATCTGAATCTGATCTGGATCTGACGGATTGGATCAAATCAGATTTATCAAATTCAAATTAGATTCAGATCCAGATTTTGATTTGATTCGATCCATTAAATCTGGATCAGATTTGGATTTGGATTTGATTCAATCTGACGGATTCAGATTTAGATTTAGATTTGATCTGTCAGATTCAGATTTGGATTCAGACCTAATTTGTTAGATTTGAAATAAAAAATGTTGCCCTGAAGTCAGACACAGCATTTATTATTAAAAAATTTGATTTTTATAATAAAATGCTGCCTGAAAGTCAGACATAGCATTTATTATTAAAAAATAATTTTTATTAATTTTTTAATAACAAAATGCTATCCTGAAAGTCAGAGGCGATATTTATTATTAAAAAATTAATGTTTAATAATAAAATACTGTCCCAAAAATCAGACGTAGCATTTAAGAATAAAAAAATTAATTTTTATTAATTTTTATATAAAAATGCCATCCTAAAAGTCAGACGTGGTATTTATTATTAAATAAATTAATATTTAATAATCAAATGCTGCCCAAAAGTCAGATGCAACATTTATTAATAAAATAATTAATTTTTATTAATTTTTTATATTAAAATGTCACCCTAAAAGTCAGACGTAGTATTTATTATTAAATAAATTAATGTTTAATAATAAAATGCTATCCTGAAAGTCAGATGTGACATTTATTAATAAAAAATTAATTTTTATTAATTTTTATATTAAAATGCTCCCAAAAGTCAGACGCAACATTATTATTAAAAAATTAAATTTTAATAATAAAATGTTATCCTAAAAGTCAGACACTGCATTTATTAATAAAAAAATTAATTTTTATTAATTTTTTATATAAAAATGCCATCCCAAAAGTCAGACGTAGCATTTATTATTAAATAAATTAATGTTTAATAATAAAATGCCACCCAAAAATCAGATGCGACATTTATTAATAAAAAAATCAATTTTTATTAATTTTTTATATAAAAATGCCACCCCGAAAGTCAGACGTAACATTTATTAATAAAAAAATTAATTTTTATTAATTTTTTATATAAAAATGCCACCCCGAAAGTCAGACACAGCATTTATTAATAAAAAAATTAATTTTTATTAATTTTTTATATTAAAATGCCATCCCAAAAGTCAGACACAGATTTTTGTTAAAAAAAACAAAATTGTTGTTTTTTTAATATTAAAATGCCGTTCTGAATGTCAAAGGCAGATTTTTGTTAAAAAATGACAAAATTGTTATTTTTAATATTAAAACGCTGTTCTGAACGTCAAAGGTGAGATTTTTGTTAAAAAACAACAAAATTGTTTTTTTTTAATATTAAAATACTGTTT